TCGCTCATTCAATCACTCACTGACTCACTGACTCACTGACTCACTCGCTCACTCACGCACGCACGCACGCACGCACTCACGCACGCACGCACGCACGCACGCACGCACGCACGCACGCACGCACGCACTCACTCACTCACTCACTCACTCACTCACTCACTCACTCACTCACTCACTCACACACACACACACAGACAGAGAGACAGAGACAGACACAGTCAGTAGCAAAGGCAACGTCTGTCAGAATTCGATTCTCACTGTCGTCATCGCTACCCTCGTCACCTTCGCCGTATGGATACATCAAAATGGATGTGCTCGTTATGGTGCTGGTCTGATCGCCGCCCCTCCATCCCCACCGCCGCCGCCAAAAACGGCTACCACCACGGCGCTGTCTGCCAACCAAACGGATAACCAGCACAGCAATAAGAAGAAGTCCAACGAATGATACGGATCGTCTCGACAGGGCCGCATTGTGCACTCACCCGTGGATGAGGCAAACAGGCCTTCTTCGCCTCCGGGATCTCGCGTCTGTAGCGCCTTTGTGCGGTGCTTACATGGTACAGCACCTATCGGACCTATCGCTTGGGAGCGCTGTGCTTCGACCTGGAATTCCCAGCTTTGAGCTTTGCCTGTCCGTCTGCTCTGCCTGGAGGTTGGACTGGGAAAAGCCAGAGCTGCCAAAGATGTTGACCGGGCGTGTGAAGTCGCTCTTAGAAGGCGAGGCCTCACGTCCTCTGCATGTGTCGTTCATTTTCGCACCATGCCATGCCCAGGATCTTGCGAAGCTTGGTGCAAAGCCGCCGGCAGCATCTGTTCGGATGCTTGGCTAAAGTAGATCACACAACGAACGCCTCTCAGAACAGAGCTGTTCCAGAGGCCTTCATTACCCGCACCTGCGGCAGGTGTAGTCTTTTCCTGGGCCTGAGAGCCAAAACTACAGGGGTGGCTGATAAGTGCCAAGACAGTCGGATTCCAAGACTCGGCTGCATGCTGCGAATGCTTGCTGGCCCATGATCGGTGCAAGACATGTTGGCAGAGTGTTTTTTCTGGTCCGCGCTCGTGCTCACAGAGTCAAAGTCGTGGTAGAAACAGGGCATCCTATATCGGCCTAGGCCTAGCCCGCAGGGCCGGCCCTGTGGTGTCTGCATTGCGTGGCTTCCGGTCTCTTTGTGCTTCGTTTGTTGAGTTGGAGATGGCAAAGTGCCGAACGATCCACAAGTACTTGCATCATGATGTCTTTGTGGGTGCATGGCAGATCTTGCCACGGGATGTCTGCGTCTGCAGTTGTTTTCAAGACTCTGCTAGTCTGCGGCTTCAGCCCTGCCAGAGCCAAGAGAACCCATCCCATGTCGGTAAGGAGGAGCTACAATGTGCTCGAGCTCTTCTTCGGCGTGCACTGGATCTCAGACGGGATCGGGTTTCGTTTGAAGTTTTATTGTTGCAGAATCTTGTCGGATTTGCGAGGTCTACGGAAGCCTGCCCATGGACGAGAGATTAAGGTCCGCACCCCAAGCTACGTGCAACGCACCACCATCCTGGTTGAGCTTCCTGTGCAGTCCAGGATTTGCCGGGAGCTACTTCCGCCAGAAAAGCGCGACCGCAAGGCCATAGCCGGTCACATCTGGTCTTGCCACGAGAAGTTGGTGGCAGTGCCTTCTTCACTTCATATCAACATAAGGTTTGGTGGTTATCTGCTCTCCTGCTTCCGGTTGTGGGCAGACAAACAAGTGCAACGGTTATCGTGTTAAGCTGCAAGTACATCGCTGCACCTGCGTTCGGCATCGTGTTGGGACATGTGATGTGATGTGGATACCAGTGTTTTCCCGGTGGCGGATGTGATCGAGGTGGATGTGATTATGGGTGCTGGCATGGATCCATTCGTTGTGGATGCGGTCGGAGTTGCGGTTGTGTTGTGGTGAGTGGACGTGCACGTAGCGGCTCTGCTCCTGCCACCAATTGTGACTCACTGCAATCATGACGGCTGCTGGCTTCCTTTTATGTTTTTTGGTTGCTTGCTTGCCTGCCTACCAGCCTACTTGTCCGCTGCTTGCTGTGACTGTTTATTGTGATTTGATGTTCGTTATTCTCTTGCTGTTGCTTGCGTTGCGGGTGCAGTTTCTGTCATGTCTGTGATCGTTACGACGCGACCTGTACTTGCTGTTGTCTTTGTTCTCAGGTTTGTTCCTGAGAGAGTTTCGGGGAGAGTGGCACAGGCGCATCTCCAAGTGGATCGCGGGCAGGCGGGGATTCGAATTGAAATATGATTCGTGTTGCTTCAGGCACTCCCGCTTCAGTAACCTAGGAAAAGGGCGCAGGGCTGAATTACAGAAGCTTCAGGGCCTTGATGTTAGAGCCTGCAAGACTGCAGGTTTCAGTACAAGAAAGTGCATCATAGAGCCAGGGCGAGAGAGAGAGAGAGAGAGAGAGAGACAGACAGGTAAACGGCGTGCAAGCACGCAAGCAAGACAGATGTATAGATATTGCGGGGTGCATGCAGACAGCCTGCTCCGTAACTGTGCTGAGGAAGATGAAGGGTGTGAGAGCGCATGCCGGGGTTCGACCCTGCATGCTGCACTGGCAAGCGAGCATGCTGTGGCAGGCTTCGGGACTTTTGTTTACAGTTCACGAGCTCGTGTGGTGGTGAGGATTTCCTGAAGAATACCTTCACGGGACTTATGAAGCTGACCGTGGAGGACTTCGTCAACGCTCGTGGCATCTGAGCAAGATTCACGAAATCTTTGCCAGGAACTTCGGAATCCGTTGAGCATCCGCTTCGCCGGAGAGGCGTGGAAGAGGTAGAAGAGTGAGATGATCTTGAGCAGTGGCTCACGGTGTTCGTCCGAGGGTTCTACGCGACGTCTCTCTCGAGCATTGACCTCATGTTTCGAAACTGCGGGCTCGAACTGGAAGTTGATGGAAAGCTTATGGTTTCACCCGTGGTACGCGACAGGGCTTGCCAGTCAGTGTCCCGACGGGGCGTGCCTTTTTCGCATGGATCCTGTGCTTGCCGTGCCTCTAAGTTTCCACAACTTCTGGGTGACAGTGCTCTGCATTCCAGTGGTGGTTTGGGCTGCGCAGATCAGCTACCGTCTTCTTCTCGCGGTATTTCTGCATTATCGGTTGAACACCAGCCGGCCACTGGTTCTTGATCGCATGAGCATCTTTGTTGATGACCTTCAGCAGCTCATCCGCCAGCACTTCAACCAGATACTGCGAATTCGTCGCACGGTGCCTTCGAAGATGGTTTCCAAGGTCCAGCTCGTGGTCCATGTTCAGCCTGAGAGCTTGACGGTCCAGTCTGATTCGGGTAACAGGATCAGCTTGCAATTTTCGGTCGATGCATCACAGCCCTGTGCTGCCACGTTTTTCTGGGGGGTCACGAACCAGGCATGCCAGGAGCTGCTGCGTCGAGCATCTGAAAGACGTGGTCCGGACGGCCTAGCTTTTCTGGATCCGGAACGGGCGGCCTCCGTGTTTCCCAGCGGCCAATATGCCCATCGATCCACGGCAGCTTTTCCAGCTGGGCTTGGGCAGCCGGTGAGACTAGGCAAAGCACATGCACTTGCTAAGAGCTTGCTTCGAAGGCTGCAACTAGTGAATGGGGTCTGTCCTTGTTGCTTCAGGCAGAGCGTCTCAGTTCAGCCTTGTTCGATGCTTGTAGCACGTCTTGCCCCAGATGAAGACTTGGCGGCGATGCAGCGAGCCGGCTATGATCTCCTGCGAGCTGCAATGCAGAGCGGTGGAGCAGACTCGGCAGACAACAGGACAGCGCAGGGTGCTAGAAGACTGGTGCGTGCAGAGTTCCCACGGCCAGTTTATAAGATGTTTCCTAAAACTGTCCTGACCAGGATTCCTCTTGTGATCTGCACAGGGGCGCCTGCGAGTGTTCTGGACGACGCGAGCTCTGCGAACATGCAGCTAACCTTTGCGACTCGATCAGCATGTGAGACTCTGTCTCCCACCAGTCACCTAGCCAGACAGGTCCTGCCAGCTTGTGTATGTGCCGAGCTTGTGTGAGGTGCGCTTTCGGAGAGAAAGCACATCCGGGCCCGTTCAATGTGAAGTCCTCCGGCAACTGGTGGCATCCAAAGACATGTTCCATCAGATTTTAGGTATCTACGGCTTCGAAGAGGGAGACCGAGAAACCGAGTGCATGGTCTGTTATGATCGTCCACGGAGTGTTGTGGTGCTGCCTTGCCGCCATTGCTTCGTGTGCCCCGCTTGCCTACGGTCCCTCCGCGAAGAGAAGTGCCCCATGTGCCGAGCCCGGGCTGCACAAATGCATCTCAAGAAGTACTTGCATATGAATACAAGTGCAAAACAGGATGTACTATCTATCTATCTATCTATCTATCTATCTATCTGAATCTATCTATCTATCTATATATATATATACATACATACATTGTGACAAACAAACATACAGACATACAAATGTCTACATAATCTACATACATACACACATGCATACCTGCACACATGCCTGCAACCCTGCCTGCATGCCTGCCTGCATGCATGCATGCATCCATGCATGCATGCATGCAGGACGAACGGGCATGCGCACACACAATGACATACAGAACCGGGCACATGGATAGACACTCGTGGATAGATACATAGAGAGATTGTATGTATGTATGTATGTATGTATGTACGTATGTATGTACATACGTCGTCATACATATGTATGCAGGCACGCACGTCCGTAGGCATGGAGGTAGGTAGCTAGGTAGGTAGTAGGTAGGTAGGTAGGTGGGTAGGCGGGTAGGCGGGTAGGTAGGTACGTATGTATAGAAGCACACCCAGAGCATGCCCATACAGACTGCGACAGAAGGAGAGGTTCGTGTCGCTGCCAAGTTCAGGATCGACATTCTCAGCATACCTGCTGCTCCCTCTCCTGCGAGAGCATTCGCAGGCAGCATCTGCAGGCAGAAACCTGGCGCTGGAGTGAGGGTGTCGGACGAAAATGGCCCGTGCTTGCTCATTTGGGTTGATCTGTGCGTTTCGGATCTCTAGGTCACCGTCGCATCAACGTCACGACAGCCCGATGTCACCCAAGTCGATAAGAGGTTGCTGAAGACTACGGCGGCCCTCGTCGGTCACCCAGCCTTCCCAAATCCAAGGTTTACCCTCCTGGCACCAGGAAAATCACCATCTTCGACTCTTTGCAGCCGGGGCATGTGCGGTGGACCCTGAGGTAGAGACTTCTTCTGCATGATTGGGACACGCTTGTGCAGTGATTTGCCAGGTCCCCAGAGCTCCATCGCGAGTAGCATCGAGACGACAGAACGAGTAACCCTAGGCATGCCTAGGCATTAAGTTTCAAAAGGAAATGCGTCCGGACGAACACCCGAACAGCTCGCGAACATCCTGTTCTTCGTTCTCTCCATGCTGCGGTGCAGCTGCATCCAAGGCAAGCCCTATGGCGACGTTTGCCTACCGGAGCTTTAGTCAGAGACTTACATGTGAGAATTCTTGCATTGCAGCCAGAGTAATACCAGTAGCAATTGCGATGACAGCAGGCTCTGCCGAGGCGGTGGTAGTACTCGTGGTAATCATCGTCGTCGTCGTCGTCGTCGTCGTCGTCGCAGTGGCCAGGGCCGTGACAGTGGCAGTGGCGGTTGTACTGATAGTTGGTAGTCGCACTGGTAGTGGTGGCGGTAGCTGGAGGAGGAAGTAGGAAGAGAAGGAATCGGGAAGGCGAACGCACAGCAGAGAACCCGAGGCGCCCGTTCCAGATGCAGTCTCCGAAGTGTCTCCGAAAGACCATCGCGTGGCGAACTCGATGGCTATGAGATTGGTGTGTGTCATCGAGCAAATCACAAAAGCCTGAGTTTGACGTAGCCAAGAGTCAGCACTATTCTGGTGAGCCACAGCTGTCACTCTAGCTGTTGGTGGGGGCTTCAGGCTGGATTGGATGAAGTCGAGGCGGCTTCCTGTCATGTGCGGAGTTGGGTTTTTGGGGTTGACGGACTGCACCGCCCGTGCATTCCCACCCGATCCCTTCCAGTCTTGCAGGTCGTCCGAGATTGCTTTTTAATGCACTGCGAAACAAGTTCTTGCCAGGGGCCGCAACAGCACCACGTAGAGTCCGCTCGTGCTTATCAACTCCAGGCAAAAGCCTTTCCTCTCGAATGGCACCAACATCTCGAGAAACGTTCCTGTTAGCTTTTAGCTGCTGTCAGCTGCAAAATGCTGCAAATCCGACCTCAAGCCGTCGCTGTTTCCGAGATGTCATGTCTTGGATTCGGTAGTCGTGCATCGTAGGAAGCGGAAGTAGCGGAAGTCGAAGAATGCCATCCCGTGTCTACGATTCTCCCAAACCGCGCACCTTTCTATGCTCTTTTGTGCAGGGTTGCCATCATGATGAAACGACGGCAGGTCTCGAGTTGCTCTTCGTAGTACGTAAGTACTTCGAAGCATTCCTACAATCGAGATCCTCACGGCCCGTATTTCTGCAGGAGGCCTACCGGGCCTCCGGGCGTGCAGCAGGCCTTGCTGTGAAGTTCCTGGGCCGCATTACCGGGTTCGGCCAGCCGCGGGCACTGCTCTCGAAGCCCTCGTAGCAGAGCTGCTTTAAAAGGGAGACTTTGGGGTGTGTTGGATAGCAAAGAGCGCCGAATGTTGCAGAACATGGGGTACCGGGTACAGCGGCTCGCGTAGCAACGAATTTCATCACTTATGGATTGCGCAGGGGAGGCGGGGCTTCTGAGGAATGGTGGGGGGCTTTAGAAATGTGCGGTCACGTTCTTGGGACCTTGAAGGCGCAGTAGCAGCAAGCCCTCAAGATCAATTCTGCCTCTGGTTATCTGCAGCACAGGAAAAGTTGAAGTATCCTCGCGGTATTCCCCCCAAGCCTTCACGAACGACGAGCGCGAGGTATGGCGATGTGCTTGCAGAGGAGTTCGCAGGTCAGCGCCGTGTCGAGTCGTATCAGAAAGCTGACTGTTGATCCCATGGTGCAGAGATGGACAAAGCACAGTTTGAATACGGCGCATTACGTCACATGCGACATGTCTTGTAATGCAATGACGCATTGACGCAGGGAATCTTTGGTCCTTAGACAGAGACGAAAGAGCCCTAATGGGCCCTGGAAAGACAGCAGAGTTTCAGAGATGAAAGGGATGTCACGAGTTACCGTTGCCAGCAATGCGCAACCAGTCGGCAGGCTTCTTCGTGTACCAAGTCGCCCGCGATGACACCGTGCCTCGGAACAGTTGGGCCAGAATCACCTAGAAGAGCCTGAGTAGGCTTGAACTCATACTGTAGTCCTGAATGTTGTTTGACATTTCGCAGCGAACAGTGAACCACTGACGCAGGCTCAGTATCAGCGCGACGTCACGCGCTCGAAAGCGTAACCGCTTCATGAGGTGGGGCTGGAAGAACTCCAGCGCCAAATCGCAGAATCCGAGGGCAGCCTGCATCTCAGCGGGTTCTCCTTGACATGACATGGTGACTTGCCTGCGTTGCCTGTCTGGAGTTCGCGAAGGTGACGACATCCGTGCATCGAAGAAGCTCCTGCCCACTTCTCGGAATGGTTCCATGCGTGACAGTAGGGCTGCGCCGAAACAGGCAAAAGTCTGGCTACGCTAAGTCTCCAGGAGACTGTTATTGTGTATCCTCTTGTGGAGTCGGGGGCCGGATTTCTATGAGGCAGCCTCTCCAGGATCGTTTTGGTTTGCACGCCTGCGAACGGAGCTGTGAAGATTGCGATGCGGGCAGCCCTGAAGCAGCACGTCTTGCAGTAGCACCCCATGTTGAAAGACGTCCATAGCAAGATCGACTTGATGGAAGGCACAAGGTGCAAACGGTCAAGTCAGCGGCCTTCAGTTGCAAAGCAAACCTTTCCAAGCATCTCCAAGTACCTGACCAATCAGAGCGTGATCCCGCCAAATGTGGACCCCATGGCGCGGCTGGCGCCTTCTTTGGATATTTGGACTGGCCGCTGGTGACGGCGGCTGGCGGCATGCCTGGAAACAGGAAGGCAGCAGAGCAGCAAGATTTCCTTCCATGCGGGTCCCCATCTAGTGAATCTCATCCAGAGACTGGCCCAAGCCGAGGCCGGTATTTGCCCGTGGACCCGGCGTCGCGAGGCCAAAGCTTCAGAGCTCTTAGGCTCTTAGGATTAATTTGCCGACAGCCTGCCGCAAATCACCATCACAATTCGTGTCACTATGCCATGCTTCACTACCAGTACCACTTCCACTACCGCTGGCAAAATCGCTATTGCTCTCATTAATAACTGCGAACAAACCATACACCACTAAGCACTGGGCGCTACTCATTAATCACTTCATACTTATCACGTATCACTAATTGCAATTCACGGCTCCCCGCGCATGCTCACAAAACACTCGGCACCAGTCACTCACCACTCATCACCAAGTATTTGCTAACCACTCGTCACCTTATCACTCTTCACTCTTCACATCTTACTAATCATTCACCACTAGTCACTAATCATGATGGGATCACTTTCGGGCTATCTACCACTATGACAATCACCACCACTACTACTACTACTACCACTACTACTACTACTACTACTACTACTACTAACTACTACTACTACTACTACTACTACTACTACGACGACCACTCGCTGCCACGACTAGGTAGAAGTAGTAGTAGTAGAAGTAG